CGTCGAACAACGTAAATATGTTGTACCTATATATACACATATTATGTGTAATATTATTATTATTATAATATACGCGCGCAAGAGTTCCTCAGCGTGTCACACGTATATATTTAATAGGTACCGTATGTATACATAACCTGTACGCCACCACCACCTACAGGTACATAAATTATGCGGTGGATAGACTCGAGCGAAAAAATAAAACGAACATCGGCCGAGAATTGGTCAGACCGATTATAATATATTATTATTATAGTCCAAGACGCAAACGGGTGGGGGAATGGGGTCTCGGGGGAACCTACAAATTTCTGGATTGTGTTTTGGCCTTAATGAGGTTTCCGTCAATTTTTTCTGACCGTCACTCAGCCGTTGGCCGACCCGACCACGGATATTATATGTTATTGAGTGCCAGGGGAGTGATATGATCAAAAATAAATACAGCTTGATTTTACTTTTGCTTGAAATACATTATAATTCATGAAAAATCCAAATCAATAACTTGATTATGTAAGCTCAAAATAAGTACTCCTCAGAAAGTTCAATCGTTTCATTGCTTTTAGTAACCATAATTCCAAATCTAACACACATTGGACGAGATTAGAATTTAGAAGTTTATTGTCAGTTCAGTCGAAAATACCGACAGAATTTCTCATTTATTTATAAATTGTTTGTTCACCAATATTGCCAAAAAAAAAAAGAAAAGAAAAACACTGTATAATATGTTATATTATATTATAGGTACACATTACACTGTACAGCTGTTTTGACTTTTAAATATTATATCATTATTATTCTACGTTGATAATCATAATTTCAGAACTTAACAAAATAATATATAGAACAGTTTGTTATGTATTGTAACATACTAGCATATTATAGTATATTGTCGAGTTGACAATAATAAAATAATAATCGACGAGGTCTAATCAACCGATATTGAGTCTCATAACTTTCGATAGGTAGGTATTCATATTATCTTATACCACGATGGTAAGAAGTTAGAAAGTTGGGGGACGATAGTGATTAATTTTTATCAGTCTAATTTTTTTGTACCTTACGTACCTATGTAGTTCGTGCAAGCCTAATATCGAGTTACTGCAGACCAATAGTTAATTCACTTTTGGACTCCCGAGTTTATATTCAAAAGGATACCACCTCACGATTCGTACAATGCCGATGACGCAAAGCCCTCTTATAATTCCCATTTCACGCATATATTCACTATAGTATTATAGACTATAGTACAATAATATGCTTAGGTAGTATATATAAACGATAAGAACTTGCGGAATTACAGAATTTCATTCGTCGTTATTATTATTGCTTTGTTTGTTGGGTCGTGCAAAATAGGAATTATATTTACTCTCGAAATTCCATACTTATACAGTATCGCAAACTAACTAATTATAATAATTAATGTTATTATATGTGGAAGGCACCGACCACGGATTTCGAAATGAAGACTTATAAGCGTGCACGTTTCCGTTATTATACGTCTATATTATATCCTGTAGATGTCCTACGATAATATATGAGGGATAACATGTGTCTTATATGTAATATAATTTGACGATGGACACCCATTCAGCTTAAACACTTTTCGTACATGAGAGACTATATTATAATAGGTACATTTTGAATAAAAAACCCCGCTCTTCTTAAGTATACAAATAATTGTAGGTATACAATTATTTTTTGTTATTTTTTCCAAATTTAATATTTTTATTACCTTTCTAAAAGGCACAAAAGTTACCCGCAGTGTTACATTCATAATTTATTATCAGTTTGTTATATTTGTTGTGTTATAATTATTTAAAAGATTATAAGTGAAACTAAAAAAAAAATATAAAAGTTATTCACGGCGCCTACTTCAAATTAGGTCATTACATTGTCAATGCCCGGCCTTTGTAAAAGTATTATACCGGTACTAAACTCTAGAGGGTCTGTGAAATTCGGTTGCAGATGTCCATCGGATGAAATATTAAATACACAACTCATTAATGCGGTGTTCAGCCCTACTGTGGATAAGTGTTTTTTTCCCCCGAATAAGCATTAAGATAAAGAAACCAGAATGTGTTCGAATGAAGACGGTTACATTATATTTTTACTGGGTGAAGATAAGAAACATTTTGTCGAGATAAAAAATTAGATTAAAAAAAAAACAACATCGTTTTGGGTAGTTTTTGGTGTTTGGTAGTTTGTTTTAAAGACACTGTAATTTATGTAATGTCATCATTATGTTAATGCCGACCGATACAGGTCCAAAAAATAAAAAATCCGAAAAAAAAACCTAATGAAAACCAGACAATATTAATTACGATTCCTATATACTATACGGTAATACGATGTCATTGTGTGTTTTTTCTGGTCGTTTAATGTCCGGGATGTAATATATAAATAACGCAATATTGTTGAAGACTTTCTGACAGCTACGCTGAGTTTGATCTTACACCAAGATTTTAAATTAAAATCTCTGACATTTGATTAAACACCTACTATCCCTGTTAGAAATTTGTAATGATAAAGTTATAATAATATTATAAAAACATTATAAAAAAATGAAAGAAAACAATTTAAAAAAGGTAATATACTTATAGTATGATTTTTTTAAATATTATTTTAAAAGTTACAATCATTTAGAAGAAAACTAATGGTAATCGAAGTTTAAAACCAAACATCGCGAAATGTACCAATGTACTTAGCAAAAACCTATATGAGATGCGCTAAAAAAAGTTGTTATCTTTAATTACAAAATCGGTTAGTTCTGAAATCTTAATATGTAACTTAATATAACAATTATAGTCAATCTGTATCTACGTATCTATAATGATCTTTCCAAAATAATTCACTCAAAAACCTCCAATAACACACGTGATGTACAAGGGACCACAATATGTTAGATGACTTATCATGAATCAAACGAATTTTTATAAAAATGTCGTTGAAATTTCCAGTTAGAAAAACGCCGATGACACAACACCGTGGTCGCCGATAGTACCTCTTTATAGGTTATCGATTTAATAATAATATATAGGTAGATATACAATAACGGACCATCGTCTACTACGCGTTCCAGTACTGTAAGCAAGACCATAGCACCGTACATGACAGCCTTTATTATTGAAATGCGCATCGGCCTCAAACGGTGACTATTCTTATTGTCTGCAGAGGACATTATGTATAGGTATACCTAAGCAATACGAGAGTCGTTCCAGGAGACGACTGTAAAACGGAGTCGTCTTCTCAGCGAAGGACAACAATAACGACGCTTATGATGTATTGTTACTATTAAAATGTTATATAATAGTATACAAAAACATAATATAATATCGTACGTACACATATTATAATATTATTATGAGCGCCGGACCGACGTCCGATCGGGGTGCAGGGAAATATGTCGTTTTTTATCCACCGAGCTCGCCCGTGTAAGCGGTTTTTCATGGAAATTATATATATTTGTCCTCTGAGGCGCTGGGAGTGCAATACGTGCACAATACGTGTCTGCATATAATAATATTATTATACATACGACGATATTATAAGACTAGGGATTTCGCACAAATTATACTCGCCCGGCTTTGGGGCCTGTCAGCGTTTTGGAAACGAAACGTGGGCGGCCGGGAATTCAATTTAACTTCTGCTGCGGTCGCAGCACACACACACATAACATTATAATATTGTGTTATATATATATAATGTGTAGTTTTGTTGCTTCGTCCGTTCCAACCCACTCGCGGTTTTCTGTATACACATTGTATGTTGTATTATGTTGTTATATACATATATATATATATATATATATTATATACTCAGCTAGGTAAGCGAATATAATATATTTTACGTATCGCACGCACGCACTTACAACATATATCACACAACCTGGCTGTGGGACTTACATGTACGCCCTTTTTCCATCGTCGTCCCCTGTTTCGTCACCACGGGCTTTGTGCGGACAACTCCATTCTATTTCACGCCAATCCATCTAACCGTCACCCCCCCCTCCGTGGCTCCATCATTGCTCTCGAACCGCACGATCTATTGTTATGCCGCAACTGCCGTGTGCGAGTTAGTATACACGTATACCTACGTCTCTAGTTGTAATCATAAACCTATATATATTATATAGGTACAACGGTTTTCAGTAAATAATTTCTGTGCAGATCTCTATAGTGCCTAGACCGCTCACAAATTGACAAATTTAGAGCAGATTTCGCATAGCTGATATAGCTACTATAGATAGTTTCCACATCTCTAAATTATTCGTGATAATATTATTACAACGACGTGTAATTGGATGTAAAATACTTTTATTCAAAAATGTTCATTGTTTATTTAACCCAATGCGACTCTATACATGTAAATATATAACCCGTGGGCCGTGACTGTTTACCAAAATATAACAAATTATTACAAAATGTTTTAGAATATTCAATATGTATAATGTGCAAGTCAACGTTTAAAAACGTAAAGTTTTAATTTAATATTAACGATCAATATATATATAAATCTCAAAAAGTTTGAAGTTAAAATATTAAGAGAAATATAAAATTCAAGTACTTGGTTAAAAAAAAGCTTATTAATTTTGAATTGCCACATATAATGATTGCTGCGCAACTTTCAAAAGTTTTGTTAAATAACTGTACTTATATTATGGGACCTGATTTAACAAAAATGTATAAATCTTTAGTCTTAATTGTAGATATGGTGTAAAAAATAAATAAATAACGTAATTACTAACGATTTTAACGTATTTTTTTTAAAACCTAAGTAATTAAAAATATGTTTGTTGTAACCTAACCTAAACTTATATATACATTTAAAAATGCCAATAAATCAAAATTTGAATCTACTCATTGTCGAAGGGAAACAACGGATGGATAAAGATCATATTGTCTGATGAATCAACCCTTTATACTTACTTCTCAACTTTTGTTACGACATTTTTGTTTATACCATGATAGGTACATATAATAATTAACTTACATTTTGTCGCACAGGAGGATGTTCCCAACCGTCCGGGTGTCGTTCACGGGGTTGAGGACAGACCAACGGTACGCGGTGCTCATGGACATCGTACCGGTGGACAACAAGCGGTACCGTTATGCGTACCACCGGTCTTCGTGGCTGGTGGCCGGCAAGGCGGACCCGCCTGCCCCACACAGGCTGTACACGCACCCTGACTCGCCGTTCACGGGAGATCAGCTGCGCAAGCAGGTCGTGTCCTTCGAGAAGGTCAAACTCACCAATAACGAGATGGACAAGCATGGACACGTAAGTACCTATACCTATACAATAGCAAATTAATGGTAATAATAATAATTATTACTGCTAATTATGATATTATAAAACCGTCAATGTCAAAATCCAATGGCTTGTGCATGTGTAATATTTTCGAGAGAAGTGTAAAAAAAAATTAATGAGGATACAGGTGATTTTGATACTAACCCATATTTTCCATATACGGCTCAAACCAGAAGGTCGATATCATATATTCTACATATTTCATTCTTATATTTATTTATAGCTTTTATAAACTTTGTAAAAATAACAGGTATACCTACTAAAAATAATTATTTTCGTATTGATTCATTTGCCAACTACCGCAACAATAACCGATTGCAAAAAACTTTAAGTAATTATACCTATTATAGTAATACTAACGCAATATTATAGGCGTTGTAGACCTGTTTTTCCCGTCCATGTTAATTATTCACCATTATAATATAATATATCGGTTTCGCGGTGGTCCGAAAAAAACAATTCTCGGCCGACAATACAAAAACAATAATGCGCCGTTCCCCTCTCGACGGTGTTTGTATATTTACATCGATATATCATATTTTAATATTATGCATAATACGATTATAAACGGCTCGCCCGAGCGATTAAAATATCACTTTATAATATTTTATTATTTTATTGTTATTATTAATATTATTCAATCCGACCGTTTTTAGTGTGACATATTATCATTTTATTGCATATTGTTGTCGTATCCGTACGACGTCTAAACGAAACCGCATATGCCATTAAGTGAGCAGGAGAGCTGCAGTTAGTCACCGAGCCCGTGAAATTAGCCGCGGAGGGAGGTTTTAATCCTCGCGGACGCCCTCCATTGCTTTAAACAAACATCGCTGCTACCACCGCACATATAATAATAATATTATACAATATTACAATGTGTACAACAGAGGCGTGTGTGAGTAACAGAAGCGCAGTGTTTTTATTTTTTCGAGTCACAATATGATGTTATATTTTATTAATGTCCCACCAATAACGACTCTAATCGTGTTTTTTGTAAAACGCGCGTGCGTCGATTATAACTGCATACATTATAATATAATACGGACGGTGCTTCTGCAGCTCAGTTCCGGTTCTAATTGATGGCTCTTATTAGGTATGCTTACCCTTATTCGAGGGGTACGAGTTTTTCCGTTCGTCATTTCTGCTATATGCGATTACCTCGATTAAATCCAAAATATATATTGCATATTAGAGGGATTAGGTCGTTGAAAACGGTCCTTGTCCGTTGGTACGCAGTTTGTTGAGAGTGATTGAGAAAATCCAAGAATCGTCCACTCACTCAGCATTAAAATACCTATATGCCTATGACAATGTTATATACATATTAAATACACTCGAGTTTCTGCAGTGACGTTGGCAATATACACTAAATTTATAAGTTCCACTATAGTTCTATATTTATTACAATATGTCAATTTAAAATCTATTCTACTTTATAACGTTACAGATATTCTTCAGTCACCGCAATTATAAAATATATCAGTGTCATATAGGACAAAAACTTAACCCAGAACCCACATTTTTTTCCAGCACGGTTAACTGCTTACTCCGAATTCTATTTACTGATAATATATTGGAGACAAAATTATTATTAATTGGCATACTTGATCGTCACAATTGATCGGTATTGATCCTAAGTCATTTCACGCTATACCTACGTATTATTATTTACTGAACCAAAAATTACCTAATAAAATGATTGAATCTCGGAATTCTCGAACTCCTATTGTCGTAAACTCGATTTCGATTTATTTTTTACCCTCGAGAGGATCTAACGGAAGAGACAATCGATTGCTCGTTGAACCAACTCGCCAGCAAAATAATCATAGTTTTATCTGTAACTAACCGTCGTAGTAATGATGATGGTAACCGAACATTACCGATAATGTCGATGGTTATAATATGATAATAAATAACTATTCGTGGCCCACAGTTGGTGTTGAACTCGATGCACAAGTATCAGCCGCGCATACACCTGGTGAAGAGAAACAGCGAGTTGACAGCCGGACATTCCGTCGTGGACTTGGAAGCCGAAGAGTACAAGACGTTCGTGTACCCGGAAACGACGTTCACGGCCGTCACCGCGTACCAGAACCAATTGGTGAGTAAACACAGTTTAATGGCATAACGAAGACGTATAGTTGAAGATGTAATTACATAATATTATAAATTATAATGCTTGTTAGTCGTTAATATAATACAACGTTGAACACGCGCGTCACACTATACTCGTCACAGCACGGTTTGGCGCTTACATAGACAATAATACGCATTTGATTCGCATTTGCAGGCTACAGTTCAGCGGTCGAATATTATTTATTATTACCTATTTCTATTATAATTATTTGCAATTGACTAGGTTTTGTTGACCATCTGTACAATATTATAATTTATTGTATAATATAACATATTTAGACTATAATTTAAGTTCGAAAATTATAGCTATACACCTCATATATAAATAAATATACAAGTAACTGAAAACGGTTAAGACATACAACTATCTTATATGTTATATATTATCAGTTATCACTATACATACGATAATAAGCTTTATCGTATATATAAAAGTGTTTGGCGGTTGTTTATTTATACTTTTAGTTATTCATGTAGGTGACCTTATTATAATATATTACTATAGTCCTTTATAAACCTGTGTGCCGTTCGATTTGGCCAAGTGAGGTAAGAATACTTAAATGCGATTCATATAAAATTATGTAGTACAGTGACAAATTAGTCTGAAATATATTTTTACAGTATAAGATATTGTAAAATAAAATTGTACAAGCTTTTTCAAAAAACAACTTTCATTTCTATGTGTTAGGTATACGACAGCATATTTTAATTTCCGATAATATCCAATAACTTTTGTGGTGACCTAAACAAGAAGTAATTAAACTTGAATAACTTGCAGTTGAATCTATTCGAACTGTTCGAGATGTTCAATTTGAACTTCAGGTTTTCTCTTACTTCAAACTGTGTTCGACGGTTCGAAACCCCTTTATCCCACGCTTAATAGTAATATAGGTAATATACTAATATAAGTATATTATATAGCTAGTGATAATTCGCATACGGTCGTTCGACTCACGTGCGTTCTGCTTTGGCTTTTGATTTGGATCAAGGGGAGAGCGAGAAATGGTTCACGATTTATCACGGAGGTGGCGGACCGTTTCTAAACAGAAGACTCTCACTGCCTTCTCCGTCCTCCCACAGCATACGTTCTTTATATACAGAATAGTATTTGGGGGTGTTCGTTCTAGTAATATTATATACTCACTTGACAACTTTCCCTCCGTAGTCCGTATACCTACCACCAGTATAACCATTATCGAAAACGCATATCTGCAAAATGAAACAATCATATTATATATAGCGATTCCACAGTTTTAAGCCATTCACATAAACAAAGTGTATGCGGGGAACAGCCCTATTAAAATAAATTAGGGCAAATAGCTTAAGCCTTTTTATTGGGGCTCTAGTACATATTATAATATATGCATACAAATTTGAGCACCCCCAAAAGTTTTGAAAAATTTAAACTATATTGTAAAGAAAACATTTTTAATTAAGAATGTGATTAATATGTTATGTCAATTTTATTTATCTTTATCCAGCACGGGTACATAGATTGTATATGAATATACACAGACGATAAAATAATCATTATTGCCTATTGATCGATTAAGACATGATTAAATATCAAAATAATATTATAGTTCGGTACAAAAGCGAAAAGGTATAAATAAAAAAGTATAATATTTAAAATGTTTAGGGCAGTGTTTCCCAACCGGTGGTCCGTGGGCCAGTCATAGGTGGTCCGCGGTACCTTTCTTAGTTTTCTATTAAAAATTATTTTTTTTTTTTAAACAGCGAAAAATATTTTATTTTACCGTAATATACGGTTATCTTATTGTTGTTTCTGCCGACGACCGATAAGTATTTTCCACTTTTATAAGTGTGTAGGTATCAGAGTAATAAATTATACTATTATCGCGAACGATAATGATAATGAGCAAAAAAAAAAAAGTCTTCTTAGTTTGCGTAAAATTGAGGTGGTCCGCGACCTATAAAATATTGTCGAAGTGGTCCGTGGTGGTAAAAAGGTTGGGAAACACTGGTTTAGGGCCCCTAAATGTTCAGCTCCAGCGCACGAGCACTCCCAATTTAGTCTGTAGACTATACTATTTAAAAACCACCGTTTTGAAGTTTTCCAAGAAAACCAACATTTCAGTTATAGTTTGACACGAGTTAAAAATGCATAATATAGTATATAACCCATAAACCACTATACAGACTGCACTCAGCTCGACAAACTCTTCGAGACACCCTGTATATAATAATATGTGTTTGTTATATTTTCGTTTCTCCGGCCGCTGCTCTAGTCTAGCCGTTTTACTCGTAATGTGTGTATATGTATATAATTGCGTTCGTCCGTGTGCTTGAACGCCGACGGGCAAGCGGGAAATGGCATTTTTTTTTCTTATAAATCGTCAGGACCGATTTAGTCCAATTAGACCGCCGGTGCATTCACGTGTGCAACAACGGACGCGAGTCGTTTGCGCGATGGAAAAATAAACTATATAGAAACAAAAATTATATAAAGCCAGTAATACAGCGGCGTTAATTCGCTTCTAGGACGTGAGCTATATACGATGTCAATTATTATACGTATTATAATATTATGTACGTTACTTGGTCTTGCCCGGCGTCACAATTAGGCATTATTATAAAGTGTGCTGTGTCATTCCGCTCGAGCGAACGCACGCACTGCGACATCCTCGTAATCGACACCACGTATTCGATCTACAGCATATATAACTTATAAAAGCAAATAGTAAAATAATTGGCTAAAATGTCAAATAGTATAGGCGTGCACGAGTCTTACCGTGCAAATTATTTCGTCGTCTTAGAATGAAAAGGTTTTAAATAATTTTTTTTTTTAATGGTTTTTTTGCATATTATTATTTAATATTTTTTGTTGTATAATTCAATCCTGTATTCAATCGTATCGATCCGTTGACTATTCAATGAGATACAGAGAATGAAAAGGTTCTAATTCATACGTGATACGGTATAGGCTAACTTAAAATCGTTCTCCTGAACAATTACAAAAATTACGTTAGAACCTTTTCATTCGATATTTCGTGTTACGTACGATTTTACGAAAATTAGCAAATTGCGTATTAAAGAAGCGATTATCTATAATAGTATCCATATTTAAATATAAACTATCGTGCACACTGCACAAATAGTACATGAATTCGAAATATTTTCTGACGTTTTTAGAACGCTTTTCAAAAGTTCAAATATTGAGAATGTCATGCGAGTCGAGCTTGTGTGTTGAACACAGTTCGTGTGAATATAACTATGTCGTTTCGAATAACTTCAGCCACTATGTACTATTATTATACCTGGAAATGTGGTTCATATTTGTATAGTTGGTGAATCGTTTGAGGGAGGAATGCTTTGACGAGGTAAACGACTGTGGAAATGACTGACGAATGACAGTTTTAAATATTAAATTTCGAATTGCGTGTTAGTACTTAGTTATCACCGTGCCAAAGTCCGAGAAGTTCGATTGGCCACGATTCGTAAATAATATAAAATATATAAAACATTATTATAACATTTCATTCAGTTCGTTCTGATGTATTATAATATTCTATGCAAATGACTTTAGAAACGGTTCCACGAACGCTGATTTATTTTTTATTATTATACTAAATAATAGGTAGGTAGTTATACCAGCTAATATTATTAACTATTTATTATGCGTGTCGTCAAAACTTTTTGGGTTTATTTTTTTATGTGAATTATTAATAACAATGATTTTCGTTTCGTTTGTAAACCCGATACCTATTGTATCACATCGTCGAGTGGGCGAGTGTGTTCCTTCTAAAATATAGGAACATAATATTTTTAGCACAAAGTACAAAAATAACTCATAAAATGAAGTTTTGTTTGGAACTCCATAAAATTACAAAATCTACCTAACATATTGTTTAATATAATTTGTGTTATAAACACTTTATTGAAAAAAAATGTCATGTTATAAAATAATAAATATAACTACTGCAGTGAATGTTACATAAAAAAGTAACTACCTATATAATATTATGTACCGAGTGAGTAGAAATTTGAAGTTACAAAAAAATGGGGGATACAATTATTATACTGCAACTGGATTATATTTAGGTAATTACCTACTTACTTCCCTGAAACTAATTACACTGGGTTAAAATATAATATAATGTCGGGAAAAATGCAATCGATAAATTTAGAGCGGACGGTGCACTACCACTTTTATATCATCTAATATTATATCGATGCCATTTTTTTTAAATGATTGTTTTAGTCACTTAGTCGTCCATCACTTTTTTAAAATACAATCAAGTGGTATAAATTATCAGTTTTTACTTACCACAATATGTATACCTATTTCATCGAAAACGCACTTTGAAAATTGTTTAAGTAAGTCATCAACATTTCATTTATTATAAAAATATTTAGTCAACATTTTAATGCAATCATATAGTACAATATTATGTTTTTTTTTGTGAGAAGACAATATTTATACAATATTATCAGTCAAATATTCATTATTCAAGCACTTCAAAATATTTACAAAATATTATTATTTCCCAAATGCTGCGTGGGTTAGGTGGGCTCGTTATAGTCATAACCAAGTTTAATGATGTGTAATATACAATAATATTATATTCGAGAATGATTTCCATCGGTATATCGGTACAAGTACCTCAAGGTCATCCAAATGTCGCGTCTAGCAAATGCGACGGGTATTCCGTATGAACAACTCGATTGAACCCCCACCGACTTTTTTTATGCAAAATGTGGACGACTATATACGCTTACACCGGACTAACAGACACTATAAATTATCATAAATGTTCGAACAGCGTCTATATAAAACGAAAACGTCTATATGCATCTAACGGAATGTCGTTCATGGGGTCGAGCTTATGTAAAAATCGACTGTGAAAAAAAACTCGATAAAACCGTAGCCGCCCTCGTGACGATCGGCCAAAGGTCGCTGCGGCGGGATTAAAAGTTCTGGCGACGTCCATTTCCCGCGTTTTA